TCATTGAGCCGACTGGGGAGTTGTGTTGCCATTTCGGTCAGCCGCAGCTTAGATTTAGTTGTTTAAATAACTCATTTAAAATAATTGAACAAAATGTTACATCCGAAATGTTTTTGGTGGGGTGAAGTGGGGGGGGGGGGGGGGTGATGAGCTTGGACAAATAGGTGTATTCTAACAGCTGGCGTAAAGGTTGTGCGAAATGCATACATCGTAGATCTTGTTGCGGTTTCATTAGAGATTCTTCTTCTTCTTCGTTCTTAATTGTGAATATGGTGGAGGATTCAGACAACAAGTCCAACTTCGTGGACAAACCGGTCTCCAGTTTGGCAGGTGCCCCATATAATTTTTCCCTGAGTGGGGTGGGCAGGGGCCAGTGTCGTGCTCGTGCCTGGCTATACAAAGTACATTCCTGAAGTACGTGCTCCGTGTTTTCCGGGGCCTTGCCACAAGGGCACATTTCGCCACACCCAACCTTCAGTTTTCTGTGCAAGTGTTGATTTAGTCTGTTGTGGCCTGTTCTAAGTCGAAAGATTATGTATTGTTGTTTTCGTGTCAGATTATAATAGCCGTCTTCTTTAATGTAGTGAGGTTGTGTGACAGACCACATTTGCGTTTGTTTGTTTTTTTATTATTCTTTTTATTTCTTTTGGGTGTAGCGAAATTTCCGGTTCTGGTTTTCATTAGAGATGAAAACCTGAAAAGTTTCCATTTTAAATGTGTTTCTATTTATAATTAAAAGTAAACGAATATTTATACTCCTCAATATTTTAACACAGATTTATATTCGGGGAATCAAATTGTATTTCAGGCATGATACTAAATGGTCATTTAAATATTGATACCAACTTATTTTAGTTAAGGGACAGGCGTGGCCTATGCTGTAGAGCACTTGGCTGCTAACTCGAAAGTCTTGAGTTGGAATCGGGTCCAAGTAAGTAGAAAGGCCCTAGTCCGCCCGGTTCTGATGCGCACCGAAATCAAGTTAGGGAAAGGAAATGCAGCTGGGTAAAGTTTCTGACTAAACCTTCTCATTATATGCCGAGGTAATTAAAAATATAGACTATTTTATCTGCCCAATTGATCTCTAGGTCTAAAAGAGGATTTAAAAAAAAAATTAAAGTTAAGTAAGTTTAAGTTTGATAAACTAGTGATCTCTCTTATTTAAAAAAAAAACAGGGGATGGCAAATCGGGTAATGTAATTGATTTTTAATCTATTTTTAATTACTTACACACCAAGTGAACGCAAAACAAAATGTGTATAATAGTGCAAATGTTATTAGTACTTTATAAATTCACATGCGCTTTTAAGAAATTGGAAATTACAAAAAATACTACATCCGGTCAACGGAAATTACTCAAAATTTGATAGAAGGCAGAGAAATAAATCCTTTACTTACATGTGAAATTTCATTTATCTATCTGAAAAAGTACTCAAGTTATAGGCTTTTGAACATTGAAAGTAGAAAAAGTTCCACTTACGGTTATCAGAAATCGCTCAAAAGTTGATACGGATCTACGACTTTGATAAAATACTTATATATGAAATTTGATCAACCTAGCTGTAACGGTACTCAAGTTATCGTGTTACAGACAGACCGACACACATACAGACAGACACACACACACATATAGACACACAGACACACACACAGAGACACACACACAGACACACACAGACACAGAAACACACACACACACAGACACACACACACACATACATACACACAGTAAAAAGGTGCATTCCTCCATTACATACCTGAGCAATAAATCACAGCGGTTTAGAAAAAGTGGTGTTATTTTCGTCACTGTATTGAAATCATGACACATATTTTATCACCTGAGCCACCATACAGTCCTATTTCTATGGCTTTATCGAAACGCTGCACTAGAGCCCTTTTATTATATAACCTCCAACTGTGTGTAGTAGAGCGAAACGGTTACATTATATGTGATGGTAAGTTTACACTTTATTTTATGACATGTTATTTATACAAGTTAAGTTCGTTAAAACTAAAGGTTAAAGCGTTGTTAGTTTAACCAGGCGGTCACGGTTAAATCTGCCTTGTACAATATTGCTGCGCTGATTTATTTATTTTTACGTTTTTTAATGATATTCTTTACACCTTGGTAAGCTATAAGTAGAGCATATCGTTTTTTCTACTTGAATTATAATAATGTCTCCGAACGTGTCCACTGGTGGTTGGTGCTTAAAGTAACATGGCAGTGTAAGTTTAGGTGAATATAGGCTAAAGTACAGTGCTTAAATCGGCAACTGGTATAATGGAAATAGCGTTCAACGATGATGGAATAGAAAGAAAATAAATCGGGGAGTGATCTCCCCTAAACTTTCTCGAATATTCTTATATAACTCGGAATATAGACAAGATTTTTAATTACTTAAACTTTTAACAATAGAATAGAATCTCGTAGAAAAAAGAATTGCGCACCAAGCGAACGCCAAAACAAAATGTGCATAATAGTGCGCAATATTATTAGTACTTTATAAATTTATATGCGTTTTTTGAGAAATCGGAAATAGCGTAATTTATAACTTCTGGTCAACGGAAATTACTCAAAATTTGACAGAAGGTAGAGAATTAGATGTTTTACTTACATCTAAAATTCCATTTATCTATCTAAAATAGTACTCAAGTTATAGGCTTTTGAAAAATTCAAAGTAGAAAAAGTACCTCTTCCGGTTATTGGAAATCGCTCAAAAGTTGATACGGATCTACGATTTTGATAAAATACTTATATATGAAATTTCATCAACCTACCTCTAACGGTACTCAAGTAATCGTGTTTACACACAGACAGACAGACACACACACACACACACACAGACATACGGACAAGATTGCAAAATTATGTTTTCCGTATCAGTGATGTGTAAAACGTCGAGATTTCGAAAAAATCTCGATTTTTTTTTTGCACGATTACAAGACTTTCTCTATACTTCGTATATACGATAAAGTAAAATGGAAAATAAACGCTGCTAAACTTTCTGGAATATTCGCACATGAATGGTAATTCAGTGGGGTCGGGCTATGGAATTATAGAAATTTGACACTCAATGACCCATATAGAAGCGAAACGGAAAGGTGCTTTAAAAGAATACAATGTAAAAATATCAAATTATCAGAGTATGGAAATACTAGCCGTCGGTACCCGTTACGCGTGATGTACAGGCCTATATATTTTAATGTTACACTTGTTTGAGAAATATATTTTATAAAAGAGTTATTGGTCGAAACACAATGTCCTTTACTATACGTACAATAATTTTAGTGACAAAGCAAAGACATAACTAAATAGCTAAAAATCCGATACATTTAAAATAACACAGGCTACCAATAGAAAAACCAAATTATATACATGATTAGTCAACACAACACCATATTAATTTAATAATAATAAATGCACACACTTATTAAGAGACTTAAATGTTTCATCCGGCTGTTCAATTGTATTTATGTTGCTTTTTAAAAAAAATGTATTTCTTTTAGCCGAGAAAATAGCATACATTTTAGAGCGTAGGCCTACGTCTTGATAGGTAGATCTATAGATCTAAATCAAATTTGAATGTAATTGTTCATTTCTTTATATCCTAAAAGTGGCAGAAAACGCCATTAGTTTTTGTGTTTTTTCCACAGTTAACCATGTGCCTTGTGACGTCGTTAGTTATTGCGTTCTTGTTTCGACAATAAACACTTTTCAGGCGGCATAGCTAGAAATGTGTTTCTACGTTTGAATATGCCTTTATTTTTATTTTCCTTATTTAAATAAAATTTAGTTCATACATTTAAAACATCCACCATATTTTTTAAAAAAAAAATGTCCGTATCTTTAAGTTCTCCATATATCGCTGAAAATGCTGATCACATCGCCTAAAAAAATGTTGCCGACAGAGAGAGAGAGGGAAGTGCACTCATGGGCTTTTATATATTAGGGTAAAAAATAATTACTATCACTTTCTGAATATCGTTGAAGCTTTGACAAAACCTAGTTAAAAATAGAGTACTCATGTATCTAATTTTAACCGTTAATATTATCGCAATAACACACAACGACAAAGTTACTCATCGACGCACACATACAGAAAAGATTTCAAAATGGTTCAACTGACTTAAGAATGTGTAAAATGGTCTACATTTTTTACCCGGTTACAAACGTTTATTCAAAACTCTGTATACATGAAATTTTAAATATATTAAAGACATCAAGTGATCGAGAAAAAAGAAACCAGATTTAACTAAAATAAATTTGAAATGTGTGTATTATTATGTTTGAATATAATAGTGATAGAGGAAAAAAATTATCAGAGCTTATAGCAAAATAAAATAAATACAATGAAAGTATCAATTAAAAAAATTAGTTCATGTGAACATTTCCTTATTTGAAGCTAACTATGAAATGTAAAAAAATTTGTGTGCAAAGCTTTGTTATAATTTAGTAAGACAGATTGGGTTCTAATGAAAACATGAAATATGTCGGGTGAATTTAACACAAAAAATATAAAATTACACGTTCAACAACATAATGCCAATTAGTGTACACCTATTTAACAACATATGGTAAAACATAATATGAAAGTTAAGTTAGACTTTGAAGCTCAAAATCAAATATATGACCCGTAAACATTTTAAATCTTAAAATACCAATGCCACTTTATTTAATTTTTTCAGCAACGTTACTTACTAAATTATAGCGTATGTTATTTACACTTGCCTATGACGTGTGTTATTTACACTTGCCTATGACGTATGTTATTTACACTTGCATATGACGTATGTTATTTACACTTGCCTATCATGTATGTTATTTACACTTGCCTATGATGTATGTTATTTATACTTGCCTATGACGTATGTTATTTACACTTGCCCATGATATATGTTATTTACACTTGCCTATGATGTATGTTATTTACACTGCCTATGACGTATGTGGGCTACAGCTGTATTTTTGTAAAATCAAATATTAATGCTAGACATGACCATTAGAACAAAAGAGTTCTAAGTTTTTGTCTGATGACGTAATCCAGCTCCCACCTGGAGACCACGATGACGTTCTCGTCCAACACAGCACTGAGCAGCTCGTCAGGTAAATGATGCAGGTGTTGTTTGTGGACCATGACGACGATTCTAGACGGGTTGGCAGGTGTCTGGGAGTAGATGGCGCACCTGATGGTAAACCACATCCAGTCGTCTGCTCTGAGAAAGTTTTCGCTGAACACCAGGACAACCCTCCAGCTGGATTTGAGCGCCTCGACCAACCCGCGCGCCACGTCACACCCAGGTAAAAGGTCACGGTCACGTACAAACGCTTTCAGGCCGAGAGTCGTTTCCACATACGGCAAGAGAGAATCACAGGCGAACTTGTAATCGTGGTCAGCGTATCCGATAAACAGGCCCATCGTGTAATCTTTCGGCTTGTGGTACTTAAAAGTACCGAAAAGATTCATCACATATGCCTTAACATAATTATAATTTTTATTGAATATAAAAACCGTTAAAAATCCTATTCCGGAAACACAGAATATCACCATGCTCAAAGAAAAATAAAACTCCCCCATACAGTTTTGCCAGAGTGTATCAAGATTCTTATAGCGGAGCGTGTTGGTCAGCATCCCGTCTTTATCCATGCACGTGTAGTTCCTGTTGTTGTCCAATGTCACGAGCGTGTTTTGCAGCCAGTGAAGAAATTGAATGTTGCTACACTGGCAAGAAAATACGTTTCCAGCCAGCTTCAGGTAAAAGAGTCCATTCCGGAGAACTAGCTCGTCAAGCTGATCCTGTACATCCTTGTCTATTCATGTTAAAGCATTGTCACTCATATCCAGAATGATAAGATTTGGGGTGTGATGTAAATTAAATGGGAAGTAAAGGAATCGATTATTTGCAAGGTTTACGGCTTTTAAGTTGGAGTTAAACTTAAAAATATCAGGTGCCGGCAGGTTAAGTGCGTTCGAAGACAGGTCGATCCATTGTAGGTTTTTCAGATGTTCTAGGTACCTGCCGCCCTTTGAGCTCATCATAGAAACTACCAGATTACACGTTGACATAGCAACCTTCTCCAGCAGTGGGAAGTCATCAAAAAATGTTTCTGAAATTAATCCCATATCATTAGCAGAAAATATAGCAGTTTTCATAGAAGGGAATCCGGATATTTTGAATTTAAAATTATACAGTCCACAATCTGATAAATCCAAATAGTCGATACTGTTAGTGTCCCAAAACACGATGCATAATTCAAAACCATATTTGTCTATCAGTCTACGAATGCTAAAATGTTTTAGTGACGATGAGAATCTGAGACCAAGACAACCGAAATTTTGATCGTTATTGTTCACCGAATGCGTTTGTGTTGAAATTGTATTTTCGTGAGAGCTGTTCTTAAAGTTCATTTTAATTATCTGTTTAGAATAAAGTGATTTTTTCATGAAATCATAATCTGAATTTTCCCAAAACGTTTGCAAGTTAAATCTTGACCTAAAGGTGTCGGAGAGTTCAATACGCTCTAAATTCCGGAACCTTAGAAGCTGGAAGTCTGCAAAAATCTGACCAATCAGCGGATTGTCACCAAGATCTAGCACTTTAAGGCAGCGATCCCACACAAGGCTATGCAGAGCGTTCACATAAATCAACTGCACATAGCTAGATTTTAATGTAAATTCTTCAACACAAATTTGTGTTAGCGACGACGTAATGTTTTTGCTTAAATAACTGTCACCATTAATTAAATTAATGTCTAGTCTTGTCCGGCTGATTGCTATGTCTTGCAAGGTGATAATTTTCATCGTTCTTCCAGCAAGACACTCGAACCATTTCATAGCGGGTTTGACCCCTATAGGGACTGATATCACACGTAGTATCTCTAACTTTTGCAGCTGACAAAAACTGTTAGGACTTATGGAAGACATGTCGAAAAAACTTGTTAAGACGAGCTCTCGAATATGTGGTACCATAACAAAACTTGTGCTGTTTACAAACTTTGCCCCACCAGATAATATTAATGTTGACAAGTTCCTTAACTGAAGAAACTCTGGTCCTAAAGATATGAATGGATCATTAACATCACGTGTCAACAGTACTAGAGACCTAGGATAATCCATCGTAATTTCATTTTCATCGTTCTCATGTTGACATTTCAAGTAGAGATATTTCAATTTTTGTAATGGAGTGAATGCAGTTGATTCGTTTAAATTTAAATTATTGCATTCCATGTTCAGTTCTTCCAAGTTTTCAAGCCCTGAAAAGGTTTCCATAGTGACGAATTTAATGCCATTGTACGATAGAATTAGAGTGCGAAGCGAATGCAATGAAGAAAATATTCGATTTGGTAAGGTTTCTATGTTGTTGTTGTTTAACCATAAGATTGTAGTGTTCACAGGAAACCAGGTGTGGTTTAATTCAAGTAAACTTCTGAAGCTGCAGTCAGTAAAAATATCTGTCATGTTTGAAATTATCCGACACGGTGAGCTGGTGTTAGGAGATATAGTTGTTACAGTATCGTGGACTTTTTCAGACTTGATAGTTTGCACAGTCTCTTGTTTTTGCAACGTTTCGACATCATCATTTTTGCTTTCTAACCCAGCACGTTCCGTTGGTAAGCAACACACAATGAGTAGAATAAAAAAACACACGCTCTGTTGATTACTTAACATTTTGCTACTTGGATGAAATTTGTAATTTAAAAATAGGAATCGATATTTAATGATTTATTATGATTTGAATTTCAACTAAATAGCTTAAATTAATCATTTGTAGTGCTACAAGAATTATGTTAGTTTACTAGCTTCTGCATATGGCAAAGATAGGCATTGGTTAAATCATTATTACTGAATGAGAGCAAAGAATTTGGCAACGTTTCCTAAAGAATAAATCTCACTTTTTCTTTGAATACTTGAAATATGTGATATTTTGAATAGGCCTACATCTTTTCAAGCCAGTGTGCACATTTCCAAACATCTAGTGCTGATCACATTCATCACCAAATAAATCACATAGGAATCACCACATACACAATTTCTACTAACACGTGTATACAAATAAGATTCACTTCTAGGTGTTCAAACCATGGAAAATACTAAGTACACTTTTTTAAAAGAACTTGACTGAAAATATGACTACACATGTGTTACGTAAATCAGACATTCAGTGTGTGCATCGAAGCTCGAAAGTCTCGTCAGTAGCCGACAAAAAAAATTTCTTTAAAAAAAAATGTCAACCGTACTTTTGCCTACATACAGTCTTCAACGCAACAGCGCGATATCGGCTACATAAAAAAATTCATTAAAAAAAATAGTAAATTTTATATCAGATTTCATGCGACATTGTTTAAACAAACCCTTATGATGTTTGTACTTACGATTACAATGTAGGATACATGTTCAAAATATAGCAGACTAACCTCGTTAGCTGGAAATAATGCTTACATGCAATTATATAGAGTTTGCCATCTATCACAAGACTCGGTAAATATATATCGGTACAACACATGGGACATTCTGTAATTGTAATTTTAGTAACTGAATAAAAGGCGAACTCTGATTAGTAAAGATTGGGGTCTGTATTTAAAATGTTTCATTGTTAAAATGTCCATTTATTCAAAAAGTCGAATGCATTTTTTTCTATGCAGTATTTTTAATAAGACATCGTCTTTTTTTGTGAGCTGAATATGTTATGTTTATCTTATGATCCCATTATCTTTTCTTATGACTTTTATAATTACATAATCTTTTATCGCTTGTGCCAAAAACAAATCTGACATATTTAAAATTTTACTTGAGTTCGTTGTAGTGTGTTGATGTGTGTGGAATATGTGAAATGTGTAGATTACGTTAAATGTGTAGAGTATGTGAAATGTGTAAAATAAGTTAAATGTGCAGAATATGTGAAATATGTAAAATAAGTTAAATGTGCAGAATATGTGAAATGTGTAAAATAAGTTAAATGTGCAGAATATGTGAAATGTGTAAAATAAGTTAAACGTGCAGAATATGTGAAATGAGTAGAATATGTTAAATGTGTGTATGTGGCTTAGTGTCAGTAGTGTGTGTACAATAGCGAGACCATTTGATGTCCGCGTATGTTGATGTTATAGGGAGTGATTGAGTCTAACAAGGTAATCTGCTGGTGGAATTGGAAGGGTGATGTTATGATCGAAGATAAAAGTTGCCGGGGAACTGTACATGTGTGGGACAGTCATTTGTTGTGTGTGTAGTGCAGTCAGTGGTTGTGTGTGTGGTGCTGTCCGTGGTTGTGTGTGGTGCTGTCAGTGGTTTTGTGTGGGGTAGACAATGGTTGTGTATGGCATTCAGTGGTTGTGTGAGAAAGTCAGTGGTTGTGTAAGACAGTCATTGGTTGTGTGGGGCAGTCAGTGGTTGCGTGTATGTGGCAGTCAGTGGTTGTGTGTAAGTCAGTGGTTGTGTGTATGTGGTAGTCAGTGGTTGTGTGTGGCAGTCAGTGTTTGTGTGTAAGTCAGTGGTTGTGTGTATGTGGTAGTCAGTGGTTGTGTGTCAGTCAGTGTTTGTTAGTATGTGGTAGTCAGTGGTTGTGTGTAAGTCGGTGGTTGTGTGTATGTGGTAGTCAGTGGTTGTGTGTGGCAGTCATTGGTTGTGTGTAAGTCAGTGGTTGTGTGTATGTGGTAGTCAGTGGTTGTGTGTGGCAGTCAGTGTTTGTGTGTAAGTCAGTGGTTGTGTGTATGTGGTAGTCAGTGGTTGTGTGTCAGTCAGTGTTTGTTAGTATGTGGTAGTCAGTGGTTGTGTGTGGCAGTCAGTGGTTGTGTGTAAGTCGGTGGTTGTGTGTATGTGGTAGTCAGTGGTTGTGTGTGGCAGTCAGTGTTTGTGTGTAAGTCAGTGGTTGTGTTATGTGGTAGTCAGTGGTTGTGTGTCAGTCAGTGTTTGTAAGTATGTGGTAGTCAGTGGTTGTGTTTGTCAGTCAGTGGTTGTGTGTCAGCCAGTGGTTGTGTGTATGTGATAGTCAGTGGTTGTGGGGGCAGTCAGTGGTTGTGTGTAAGTCAGTGGTTGTGTGTATGTGGTAGTCAGTGGTTGTGTGTGGCAGTCAGTGTTTGTGTGTAAGTCAGTGGTTGTGTTATGTGGTAGTCAGTGGTTGTGTGTCAGTCAGTGTTTGTAAGTATGTGGTAGTCAGTGGTTGTGTTTGTCAGTCAGTGGTTGTGTGTCAGCCAGTGGTTGTGTGTATGTGGTAGTCAGTGGTTGTGTGTGGCAGTCAGTGGTTGTGTGTAAGTCAGTGGTTGTGTGTATGTGGTAGTCAGTGGTTGTGTGTAGCAGTCAGTGGTTGTGTGGGCAGGCTATTTTGATGGTACTATCTAAAAAAAATTATATATCTTAAAAAATGTTTCACTCCAACTACTTAAGTCCCCCCTCCCCCTCTATTCGGAAGAAGTGAACCTTAC